AAAAAAATTATTTTGGGTGCAAAAGAAGGCCCACTTTACTTACTAATTTTGGGGTAAATTCAGTGTAAAAGCATACGGGTGCATTCTTTGCATTGGAAAAAGAATGAATGTATCGAAATCTCATTACGTTTCTCACCATTATGATGTTAAAAAAAATGACTGAGAATCAGATTCCAAATGTAATATGATAATGAGATAGAAATTATCTTGTACATTTAATATTTACTAAAAATATTTATCACTAATTAAATAAAAATTTTAAAAAACTACTTTCACAAGCCAAAAAACTCCCGCTTCTATTCTCCTTCCAATTTTTTTTCCCTTTGCCTCCATATTTTTCGATATGATCGGGTTAATCTCCCTTATATATACATTCCCCAATCAATCTTTCAACTTGTTCTCTTGCAAAAAAAAAAAAAATCTTTTTTTCTTCGTAGATAACCAGAAAGTTCTTAGACAAAGGTGTGGAAATTATTATATTCAGATAGTTATTCAAATTGAAAACTTGTTTTCTTTCTACCAAAAAAAAAAAAAAAAAAAATTTCTTCCCACCTATCATCATCAATATCAAGACCAATAAAAATGCTTGTAAAATAATATGAAAGTGATGATTAGTCAAATGATTTAGAGTTTGATTTTTTTTTGAAAAAAAATTTAAGATGGTTCTAGATTTTGTTATGTTTAAGATATTTAAATATACTACAATTTTGATGCTTCAACATTTGATTTTACTTAATGAGTTGATTTTGCTCAAGGAACCAAAATTCACGGGCATACTATTTCAAAATTATGATATGTCCATTTACATTTGTTCTTATAACATGATTCATTACATAAATATTGTTCGTTTTGATTTTTTTTGTAATCATAGTTCTTATGAAAAATTTAAGTTTATTGAAAAAATTATTATTTTTCCCATTCCCATTGTATATTGAGCCAAAAAGAACACCGTAATGAGAAAATGATTATAATTCTTTATATTTCTGAACATTGTGAAAGAAATTGAAAATTCTTTTAATAAATTGACTTTTCTTGACCAGTAATGATATTACCATTCCACCGTTCCCTTTTCAGTGCACAGAACGCACCCATGGAATAAAAAAGTGGGGTTGGTGTGTGCTTATGTGGAAGCAGGAACCCCACTTATTCTAACCACATCGATAGATATGCTCTAATGCCCTCCCCTCGAGGGCCAGGGAGGTTAGTAGTATTTGGTTTCTTCTTAAGGAAAATTGTGTTTTTAGTAATTACTCCTTCCGTTTCATAATTATTGTCCTGTTTGAATTTTCATTTTAGTTCAAATTGTACTAAAAGTAAAAATCCAAATTAGACAATAATTATGGGACGGAGAGAGTATATAATTTTAATTTATTAAGATTTATTTGAAATTTACAATCAACTTAATTAATATAAAATCATGAAAACTAGAATATAAAATTTTGAGGAAGTGATAGGAATCGCTAAAATTTTGGACATTCATTTACTTTGATTTAAAAATTATAAATGTAAATAAGTAAAATTAATTAATTACGTTGAAACATTTATAACGCCTAACTGAAATTTATAGGCTATCTAAATTCGTGGCAATTATTCAAAATCTTTCTCTTATAATTTATTTATAGAATTTATGATAACTATTTCTTTTTATTTTACCCTTTTTTTTTACTATCTTCTTTTTTAATACTTCATTTTTCAAATTTGTATGTAGTCCCAATTCTTTTAATCATAGTCAGAGCATCTTTATTGGTTACACTCCATTTCAATGCCACATCACCCTTTTATCTGATATCGTTTAATTATATTTTTTCCAATCTTTAAAATTTTAGACAGTTCAAATAAGACCGACCAAATAGCCATAAATACCAATTAAAGTGCATTAAAAAAATAAGGCCAAAGAGAAGGGAGATAAAACCGAAAATGTGAAACAACTTCTCTCTCTCTTTTATATTAATGCTCCTACACCCGCAAGCGTCAAAATGGAACCGGTCAAATCTGTTTCAATACTCAAAGTTTTATAAATTCACTCTAACGATGTACCCGTTAATTGTCGTGGATGCTCTCAAGAAAAAGTATAACCCTTAATTGTATGGCCAACCTCTTGGAGGCCAAAAAATTTTTTTGTTTCCCTTTTAAAAACGAATACGGAGGAAAAAATTAACACCTTCCATATAACATTTATATTTACTTTTTACAACTTACTAGATGTTAATCCCGCACGTGATGTGTGGGTTACGTAAAATATTTTTTATGCAATTTTTAAAATAATTTAGAATATGAAAAAATAAGTATATGAAAAAGACTACTTAATAAATTCATTTACAAAAATATAAGTCATACAATATTTGTTTGCATTTTGAAAAATGAATCGGGTATTATTGGAGAACCTTTCTAACGTAGAACAAATTCACTTATTAAGGGACATTTTCGGATTCCAGTACCCATATATACAAAAAACGTAAATATAAAAGAAAAAGTAATTTTAGCTATACTTAAAAAAAAAAGGAAAAATAAATGGTTTCTAATGATGGTGTTGATTTATTTATTTATTTTTCCAATAATACTTATTGTCAACAGTTTTGAGCACGTTCTTTCTTTACTTTAGATTGCCGATATTCTTATTATTCTGTTATTACTTTAATTTTTTAAGGTAAATCAATGGTTGGTGATATATAGAGGCTGTCTGGGTCAAGAATGAAAAGATGAGTTATAAAACCAATTTTAAATGTAAGGCCAAAGAATTATGAAATAGGGATCTCCATTAAATGCATGCGATGTTACTTGTCTATGTTTTTCGTTTTTATTTCTTTTTTTTTTCTTTTTGATACATAGAAGGGAGGCTAATGCCTAGTTTATATGGAAATAATATTACCGTATAAGACAACCGTAAAACATAGTACTCAGTCGGTGACCATGTAATTGCTCATGTATTTCAAAATATTAGCCTATGCACACGTAATAGTTTCCACACCACCATCATATATATCTTTAGTGATTATATAGTCTATAGTATTTATTATGTTTGGGAAACTTTTTTCTTGATAACACATAATCAAGGTATAAACATATATATATATATATATATATTCTAATTTCGTATCCTATGGATGCCGAACAGCAGATCGGAAATGTTTTCAATCAAAACTTCATTGATACATCAATAATGTACATATTCTCCAGTTTGCCTCAACATGCGGTAAATTGGAGATGAGTTTAGTTGTGCTTTCTTCCGTCGCATTTGAAACTTTCACATTAATTTCTTGTAAATCAAAACTTAGATCTTGTGTCACTGAAATTAGTATTAATAAATATCCATCATTAAATTGTTGAAAATATAAATGAATAGATATGTTCTCATGAAATATTTTGATTAACCTTATCGATTGGCAAAGCTTCAACGGAGGCGAGCCCACGAACACAATGCAGCAAGGATCATACGGAAGCCCTCCACGTGTTGAGAACGTGAATGGGATTGTCAAGTACTCACTACCATTAGAGTGGAGTTGTTAATGCATATTCTTTTTTTGGTTCTGAAAAAAAATACAACCAAAAGCAATCTTATTTTCAATCATAATCAGAAAAAGAGAGAAAAAATGCATAAGCTATTGTACATACGGATTAGGGGATAAGGGAAAGCTATATAATATTTTCATAGAATGATTTCCCATTATTGATCATATCGTCCTATATTAGCCTCAATTATGGGATTTACTGATTTTTGGGATTTGATAATTAATGGACAGTATATTAATTTTAGGGGCCCATAATTAAAGGCTAAAAGAATCAATTATGATATTGTATTAATTATTTTCAGATTTCAAAAAAATATTAACATTAATTATTGATCAAATTAATACCTAATGGCATTATTTTCATAATTTTGTGTGAATACAAAGTATTACATTGGAGCTTTATTTAAGCCAATTGGGAAATTTATTCAAATCAATCAGCATTAAACTATAAATGAATCAAATCAATATTTTTTTTATATATAAAACCAAATGGAAAGAAACCATTAACGTTGATATTTTTAAAAAAATATTCCGATTTTTTTGTTTGACGAAATACAAATTGAAAGTTTACCATCCAATTGATTAGTAGAATTTAATTGAGATTTGATAACACTTAATTTACTGGAAATTCAAAAGACTGTTAGTGTAATTGCTATAAATATTTTTTCTGTCAACCTATAAAAAATGACACATAGGAGTTTGTCCTACGTGTCAACATGATGAGAAGTTTGAATTTCTCTCTCTAATTTCTCTCTTATTATAATACTATAAATTTTACTGATTTTTTTTCAATAACCGTACTGAACCACCTCTCACCATTGACGGACTGTCACTCATTACGGCTGGACAATGGTAGGAAGTGGGAGGTGGTCCAATAAGAAAAATAATAATATTGTTCTACTAAAATAATTTAAATCACAATCTACATCTAAATAAAAAACAAAAATAAAAAGTTGTCCATAGTCACATCATTTGTCTCCTCATTTATGATTTTCAACACTGATATTTACATTTTCAAGACACTTGTTTACATTTCCAACCAAGCATAAAACATTCCCACAAGAAAGTCAAACTGACAAAATTCAAAGTTCATGATTACTACTGACTGAGATACAAAATCCTCCATAAAATTCTTTGGTGAAACAAATAAGGGGAAAAATCTGCTTTAGTTAAAAAGAAATCACACATCTAATACTAATAGTGTCGAAAAAAATAAAATATTGTGTCCATCAAATCAAAGAAAAGCGTGGCACACGCCATCCCCCGAAATCCGTCTGCCTTTCAACCATTTCACACTAAACTTTTCTCTTCCATTACCTTTGAACCCTGTCGTTACTAATCACTATAAAGAAGATAATAATAATAAGATTGCGCGCCAAAACGCTTCAGTTTGGCGCGTTCTAGTGTTCCACCGCCATTCCTCTTTTTATTAGTCTAAAATTTTTCTGCATCTCCAGTTCGATCTGTGCGTATTTTCTCTGTTTTGATTTCATGAAGAACATTTCCAAGAACATGGAACTTCCCCCTGGTCCGTGATGAGATGTCTACATAGACCTTTACAAAAACCTTTTTTCTTTTGGTTTTATTTTTGTCGAGCTTTCATCATTTTTCACATTTTTTCTTGTGTTTCTTCAATTTATGCAGGATTCCAGAAGGATTTTTTCGAGGCAGCGCGTACGGGAGATTTGCCGTGGCTCTCCAGTACGTACTCTTTAGTTTAAATGATTTTTGGGTTGAATTTAAAGTCATTCTATCGATTTTGTTGGTAAGAGTTATTTTTTATCATCTTTGGATGGTTCATTTTTGGGCAGGGCTAATGGCAGAGATCGAAAAGGGTCCTGAGAAGATTTCATATGCATCGGTGAAGACGTGTGCAGGCTGCAACGCACTTCATTTGGCTGCTGCCTTTGGTGAGACTGAGATGTGCAGACATTTGATTCAGAATCTGAAGTTTGAAGTGGACGCCATCGATGATTCAGGTACTCTGTTTCCTCCCCTGTTTTTGATTTGGTTAAAAATTGAAGTATTTTTCTGTAATTTTAGAGGGAATTAATGTATACCATTTTTTTACATCTGACGTATTTTTTTAATCCATAAATTCGTCATGTATTTTGCTTAACGGTCGTATTGTTTGCAGGCGGGACACCCTTATTCCAGGCCGTTCTGGGGGATTATCGGGATACGGTTAATTTCTTGATTGGCAGCGGTGCAAATGTCATGAAAACAAACCTCAAAGGGTTAACTCCATTGCATTGGGCGGCTGAACAAGGTCTAATTGATGAATCTCTTCCCTGGTCTTTCGGTGGTGTTTTTTTCTTCCTTAGGCTATAGTTAGCTTTTGATGTTACTAACATAAAGCTTCTTTTAGGGTACACGGAGTTGGTTAAGCTTTTGATCTCCAAAGGAGCTGATTCGAATGCGACTTCTGCTGTTGGGACACCCCTGCATTGTGCTGCAGGAAATGGTAGTCATGAAACATTGAAGTACTTGTTGGATCTCAAGGCAGATGTAAGCAAACACATCATCTGTTATCATATAACTCTTGGGTTTTTTGGGCATGTTGGTCTCTAGATGTGGACTTTTTGTCCCTATGTATTCCGCTAATTGTATTGACTAATGAACCTTTTGATATTTGAGGTTTAAAATTATGCAAATGATTGACTTGATCTTGCCATTTTGTTGACTAAACTTCGACAAACCTTTTAACCTGAGGATATATATCTTTTACTCTTAGGCCAAACTGTATAGATGCTGTCTGGATCCATATATGATATTTTAAACCTTTTTACCCTGAGCCCTGAGATTCTTTGACAAACTCTTTAGTCTGTGGTCAATTAACATGTCACTTCTCCTGGTGCAGCCAAACTCTCTCTCACCAATTTACCTGTCTCCGCTCTTGCTTTCAATGTTTGCTGAATCACTGGAGTGCATGGAGCTACTACTCAAGGTGTGCTCCTTTCTTGTGTTCCTTTTCAACATGTATGATATAGCAATGTGAATTAAGTTATCTGTACACATATGCAAGCTTTCCTCGCTACAAGTATTCGACGTTCTTCATGTCATCATTTGGAAACCCTTTTGCTTTGCGTATATAAAGCCTTGCAACAAGACTGTAAATGCATGTTACAATTGAGGAAATAAAGATTACGTGATATGTTTTTTTTTTGGCACTCACAGTTTGCATTATTGGAAACCTTACAACTTACAACCACTAAGAACTGGAAAGAGAGTGTCAAAATTGAGGAGGAATGAAAAGATCCTGTTCTAATTTCTTCACCTGTTTGAACTTATTGACATTTTGGAACCATAATAACTGAATAAAGTACATTTGGAAAATGAGGAGATGCATTCCCTTATGTAGGATTGAAATCTTGTGACCTTTTCTTAAATAATTCAGCAAGGAATTACTTTTTTTTATGGTATGGGAAGGGCTCTTGTTGCTTGTTGCTTTTACTGCATGTAGTTGAGTGATGGTGGGGTTTGGTTTATGAAAGTACTTAAGGCAACTGAAAGCTTTTGGGCTTAGTGCAATCGATCATAGACTCTCTCCTTTGATCGTGTTTCTTGAAAGTTGTAACTGATTAAGAAAAACTGGGGGTACCCTGTCATCCACTTCAAAACAGATTCTTTGCATCACTGATTCTTGATTCTTTTAAAGAGCTGCATTGCCTGTTTTAAGGCAGTGAAGCCGAAAAGTTTTAATTTATAAATTTTCATTTGAGACAGGCGGGAGCAGATCCAAATGGGCTTACTACCGATACAACACCTCTTTGTTATGCTGCTTGTAAACCTGATGAGAAGATGATCCATTGCTTGTTGAAAGCTGGCGCGAATCCTAATAACACTGACTTTGTGAGTTACCTTTCTTCCCAATGCAGCACCTCAGTTGCTTTAATTGCTATATTTGTCTCTTCATTCCTTTGGAGACTGGATATTGTACCCCTTTATTTCCTTCGCAGTGTGACATGGACATCTGTGTTCATTTCATTAAACACCACTCTCACTTTCTTGTAAAGCTGAAGCGGGATAGAGGTCCCTTAAATTTCTTTTGATCAAATTCTGGAACTTCTTGAGTTTCTTGATGTAGTTTCTATGTCCTTTTTTTTTGCAACTAGTTGTCGAAACCTTGACCGCAGTTTCAGTAGTTAGAAGATAGCATTTTCCACCCTCTTATGTCCCTTTTTTTCTGTTTTGTTTTCCTTCTGAAAGGATTGGATGGACATCTTGGATTATAATCTATAATTTTTGTTGCCATGTTGGATGATTTAGCTGATGTACAAATGGTGTACTTTGTGTAATTGCAGTTGGGTAAGACACCATTAGAACACGCAGCATTAATTGGCTCCGCTGAGGGTGTTAAGCTTTTGTTTCCTGTCACTTCTCGCATTACATGCTATCCTGATTGGAACATCACTTGCGTGATGCAATATGTTCGGTCTGAAGGAGCTTCAGCCCAGGTATTGCTAAAGAATGCCTTTGCGACTTTTTTCATGCCTTCCTTACAAGAATAGTTTGCATTCTCAGTCTTTTCATTTTCATGTTTTTTTTTTCTTTTTGTCCGTTATGGTTATTCATAATGACATCTGCTGAATACATGCATCACTTGGAGTGCACATCGTATAGTAGTTTTTTGAAGCAATCCTGTCTGTTACGCAGAGGAAGATAAAGCAGAAAGAGATGTTTCTGATGGCCAAAGAAAAGGGGGCAGCGACTGTTGCAAGAAAAGATTACTGGAATGCAATATATTGGTATTCCCAGGTGATTTCTTGTACTACTTTTTACATGACTATGGTATGTTTATTTGTTTTCTTTAAATTCTAGGTTGATGTAAGATTCTGAATAATGTATAAATTGTCAGCGACATTTCTGGTTTATTCATTGTTCAGATCAATTTATTCCTGATTTGAAGTTTGATTTATTTGACTGGCGCAGGCAGTCAAGATCGATCCAGGAGATGCAAAAATGCTATCAAATAGGAGTTTGTGCTTTGCCCGACTAAATAATGGTGATCCTGCTTTATTGGATGCACAGTCTTGTGTTGCGCTGGAGCCGAGATGGGCGAAGGCACACTACAGGGAAGGTGCTGCTTGGAAAGTTCTCAAGGTTGGATTTACATGTTTTTATAATCAGTTCATCATTGGAAGATTTGATATTTGCGGACTTAATAATGAAGGTTAATAGACATTTTTATTGTGTGCAGAAATATGATATGGCAGCAGAAGCATTTTCTCGTGCTTTGGCCCTTGATCCTGGTAACAAGGAAATTGAGGATGCATGCAGGTAAGTACTTTACTTGCATTTGATAAGTTGGCAGTTTTGTTTTTCATATCTTAGATGATATTTAGGTCTTTGGATTTGCTTTAATCCGATGTACAAAATTCTTTTCTTTACTCTTGCTCTCACGTTGAAGGATGTTTGTTTGCATTTTCTTTAGTGACTTGATGTACCTTGATGACAGGGAAGCACGGGCGTTAGGTTTCTGGAAACAGACCCTTAAAGTATGAACGTGTTGGCTGAATATTTTGTGGGAAGAAGATGCCTTAGGCTGTTTGAAATTGTAAAGCTCTTCTCTTTTTGGCTGTAGTATGAATGCCTCATTTTGCTCAGATTGACCTCAAATGAGGGAAACTAGTAGTAGTGTTGTGTAGGAGACCGGTTTGGATTTTGTTCTAAAAATAAAAATCTAAACATGATGATAATAAGTTGGAATGGACAGAGTACTAAGTTTTAGATAATCTGGGATCTACTCCCTCACAAACTTCAAAGGAAAATATTTTGCTCTTTCTATCAAATTTTCTCTCTCAAACTAAGAGCATTTTTAATTTATCTCAAGTAAAAAAAAAGTTTTAATGTCAAAACAGCAATAGTGTCTTCTAGCTATACCCCTACGCTTTTGTCGATATTGTTACAATTTTGTTTCTCTGTTAGTCTGATCAACTTGCATAGTGATGACTACTACTACGTTAGTTTGATCTATATATTAAAGGAGAGTTGATTATTAAACACGTGTTGCTCAATTAGGCCTTAATAGGTTCCGTTGACATATGTCGTTTTATTATTGGCTCATCATTAAACATTAAAATTTTATGTAAAATAGTTAATTCGTTTCATCTTTACTAACTAATCCATTTAATCCGTGTAGCTTTTAATTTAATCAACTCAATTTGAAATTCAAAACTACAATTAATTATGGAAATTTTAGATAATATATTCTCTTTCGAAAAAGTAGCAATCTCTCAATTAAAGCTAATTTATATCTTCTCTAATACGCTTTCCCCTCTACTAAACCATTCTCTCAATTAAAGCTAATTTATATCTTTTCTAATACACTTCGCCTCTACTAAACCCTAATTAGGTGCTACTATATCTCTATAAATACATACTAGATATTAAGCACTAGATGTTAAGCTCGTGCGATGCACGGGGTATGAAATATAAATTACTTCCTCAATTCACAAATACATGTATTTGAAGAATTTTCACACAGTTTAAGAAAGGAGAATAAAATACCAAAAACTACCCTTATTTGCTCCCAACATAACTTTAATCTCAATATTTATCTTAAAACACTTTCTTCCTTGGAATGAAGTGGAGTAATACAAAACGTCGGCTACTTTGTAATACGATGCCATAAAAGTCTTTTTGTCAAACTATCCAAACCACCTCCATTAAAACATGCTCCCTGATCAAAAAATTTGGCGGACTTTAACCTGAATAAATTTTGTTTTGCTCATCAAAAAATGTGTACCCTTTTTTGCGTGAAATTTTTGAAATTTTGATTCCGTTTCCTATTTATAGCTGGGAATCTATTCATGGAACTCATAAGATGAGAGGAAAAAATGAATTCAAGACCACGAGTTGATGATGTTAATAGTGAAAGGTTACTTTTTGATCTGAATAGTAGTCTTCCATCCGAGAGTTTGTTGTTGGAGGTAAACCATCCATGTGAAAAAAAAAAGATAATTGCACATGCAATTTCAACTTAAATTTTGAGCCTCATGAAGAAATAGAGGTTATTTACTTGGATGGTGATTCCTCTAATGAAGAATTTGAAGAAGGATTTGATGAAGTGATATACTTATATTTTACCTATTTATTATATCCCTAATTTGTGATTTTTGCAATATATTTTGAGTACAAATATGCTATTTATATGATTTTATCTTTATTTGTAGGTTTTGTACTCAAATGGAAGAATTGTTGAGATTTTGGACTAAATTGAAAAGAAAAAGCAACTCAAAAGGAGAATTGAAGATTTGATAAATTGACAAGGAAGAAATTGAAGCACTTGAAGAGTTGGAGGAGTTTTAATTTAAATTGGCTTGAAAAAAAAAAATAACTTTCTTATTCCTGAAGAAATAGGATTTGAGAAAAGCCTATAAAAAGAGCACTAGAGTCTTATTGTTGGGGAGAGAGAATTTAACCAAACCCCCACCTTGTGTCGGCCAACCTCCACAAATCCCTTAATCATCATCCCATTACCAAAAAAACCCCCCACACCAGCCGCACACCACATCAACACCGTAGTCCTTCACCAAAAACCCATCACCTATCCACGCATAATCACCTTTGCGCACCAGCCCCTTCTCCACCCACCAAAAACCAAAACCAAAACCAAAAACCCAAAATCCCAGCCCCAAAATTCCACGCACCTCATCACCAGCACTTCACCACATTCACGCACCATCGTACTCCATCACACACATCATCGCCGGGAGAAGGAAGCAAGCAACTTCGGATTCAACTTTTGGCCTTCTCTCTCCCGGGTTTCATTGTTTTATTTATTTTTGAGATGATGTGTAGCTAAATTATTTAATCTAGGGTTTTGGATGTAGCCACCGTACTATTTAATTTAATTTAAAGTTATAATTGTGACTTTTTCATTAATTAATATTTGTTATTCTTGTTTTTCATCCATGTGAATACCTGATCAATATTTACATGCTTTAAGGTGCTAGCTGAAGCAGCGAGAGTGGAAGGCTAGTATTAGTTTGTAGGAATAATAAACTTAGGTAGTGAGCCACGAGAGTAGGAACACCACCTTTGCGACTAGTAATTTCAAAGTTATTAATATGTTTTTATTAATCTCTATAGTCACGAGAGTAGTCATAGGATTAGTTTAAGTAAGAGGGTTATGACACGAGAGTGTATAATTCTTAAATTGGTGAATTATCGTGAGATTAATGAGAGTCGAAAGTTACATATCTATAGATTAAATTAAACTAAATAGTCGGTTGGTGAACCCTTTGCCCTAGGTTTTTTCTTTTACTTATTTTATATCTTTAAATAATTGCAATTGATAGTTTTAGGTTTAGATTAGTTTAAATTGATAAATTGTTAATCTAAATAGTAATAAGAAATAATTTTAACCGGTATTTGGTAACCTTCTCTGTGGGATCGACCCTGCTTTCTGTTTTACTGCTAGTAATTGTATTAAGTAGGTAATTAATTATTTGACTAGTGTGACGACAGCTTGTCAAATTTGGCGCCGTTGCCGGGGAAGGCACTAACCAATATCAAAACTAGATTATTACTTTTATTAGTTTAGATTTGTATATATTTGCCTTTGTTTTATTAATTTTTATTTTATTTTATTTATTTTTATTTTTAATTTTATTCTCTTTTCTTTCTTGTGTCAATATTTTCGTAGATATTTGAGCTATTATGGAGAATTATAACTATAGATATGGAGAGACTCCGTATTATGGTTATGATTCTAAATATGGAGATTATCCTATATATCAAGAAAATCCGTACTCTTGGAACAATTCGTTTTCTGATCCTTACTATTGTTGTGATTATCAAGGGTATTCATTTGATACTGCGTACAATTCTAGTTTTGAGAGCGCGTATATGAGTCCTAAGATGTTGTCATGTTTAGAGAGAATTGATAAATTGCTGGATGACATGGAGAAGAAAAATGCTTCATATTTCTCTCAAGAGGATTGTTACCACTCAAATGCATCAGTATATCAACCACCACCTCGTCAACCTACTCTAAGAGAGTTAGCAGCTCGTCAACCTACTCTGAGAGAGCTAACAGCCTTACAGTCATCACCTTGTCAACCCACTTTGAGACAGTTAGGATCTTCATATCAACAGCCACCTGTTCAACCTCAACTTACTGTTAGAGAGGCAGCTCTTCAAGATTGTCAAAGTGAAAAAGGCCAACAGCTTTTCAAAGAGGTCAATCAATATAGGATGAGTGTGGGGTTGTCGGAATATGATCCTATAGGAAATTTGCTTAAATTGAATAAGAATGAGAAGATTTCTGAAGATGATTCATTGGTCCAGTCTCCCCATCCACCATCTCAAACTGAGCTTGAATGTGAAGAATTAGAAGAGACCGAAGAGATTACAAGTCTAGATATTACAAGTTCTCCTGATTATTCTGGTATATACATAGTAGTTAAACATGATTCGCTCATTCTGAGAGTTGGTGACAGGGATGTAGATCAAGTTGATTTTGATGAGAATAACATTCCTATAATTTCAAAAGAAGGGTTTGAAGTAGACACATGTGGCGAGGTTGTCCCTAGTATAAGAGATTTTGAGGATGATGTAAAAAATGGTTCAATGAAAGACCAAGAAAAGGATCAATGGTACAAGATTGAATTTGAAAAAGAGGATGTTATAGTGTTGGAGTATAAGTTTATATTTTCTGAACATGGTTGCTTCTGGTATCGAGATGGGTACTCTGACTGATTGGCCATGGAGTTCGGCTAAAGACTATAAAACAGCGCTTATTGGGAGGCAACCCAACATTTTATTTTGCTTTATTTTATTTTGTTTTTCATGAATAAGTGATGGTTGAGTTTTTTGTTCCCGATTATTTGAAAGTCTTTGAGTTCTAAATTTTTGTGATTTTTCTTAATCATCTACCTGATAAAATTTACCTTTATTTTTGTTTATGTGCGGCAGCTACTCTCTAGAATAAATGGTGATGAAAAATGCTTGGATGGTTATGCAACATATCTCTTTATTCTTCAACTTCAACAATTTCGTCCTCCACTTTACATTCTCAAGGTTGTGTCGTTTCTTTTCATTCTTTTTGTTTATGTCTTTTCTTTTCTTTTCACTTGGTTGTCTTGTCTTTTGTTTTTTATACATTGAGGGCAATGTATGCTTTAAGTGTGGGGGAGAGGAATATTTGTGTTTTGTGTTTATCTTTCTTAAAAAAAAAAAACCATAAAAATTGAAAAAAAATGAAAAATCCAAAAAGGCCTATGATGAAGATGGTTTAATTATCTATAACATGTAAGACTTAGACTATTTTGAATTGTATTGTTTAACTTATATATTTCTATATGTTGCTTTGAATACCCTGCTTTATATGCACTTAGTCGTGACTGTGTGATAAGCCTAAAGTGAGACATAGTTGCATGAGTTTGATGTAGATATGTCATGAAAAGTTGTGTTTGATTCACTCATACTTATATGATTTGCATGTGGAACCCATCATGTTGTGAAGGAAAAGCAAGGCATTAACCCAATATCAGCCTTA